AGCCTATATGGGGCATGCACCACCACACACCCAGTTAATGTCTCCCTCAGTGACAGACAGGGGTAAACCTCTGTTTGGAGACTGACCTGCATCGAGGATTCCCTGGGCCAGGATGGCGCCGAACTTGGCCATGACGTCATCGTGCTTGTCGTTGATCACTTTTGCGTAGAGCTGTCTGAACTGGTTCACCTAAAAATAACGAAAATGTTTAATTAAAGAGAAAAATAATAAATTGACTCTGCAGAAATATATTTTATTGTCTTCAGTGAACTCTTGTGTCACTGATCAACTCATTTAGAGGCTGTCTCTTTAAATCCAAACAAGGTGCTTCTCTTTGTCCCCTTTAATCAATTGGACTAKTGAGCAACATAAAACTATAAGCCTGACACTGACGTCTATTTGCTGAAGAATTGTTAAATCACAAAGGCTGGAGACAAGAAGTCATGAATGCAATACAATGTGTATTAGTTTTTTTTTAAAGTACCTCTTATACAATCCTGCATACCAAACAAAGCTTTAAAAACTGATGGTGTGCAGATGAGGAGTTTCTGAAAATACGTCTCAGATTTCATAATCGCTYATTCCAAAGAATGACGTGCTTTACGGGTGAATGTGTGCAGTGATGTTGGGACTCGTCGCTCTGCAAGTCTTCCATGACCCAAACAAGTCGTTTTCTGTCTACACAATGATGAAGCTTTTTGCTTTCAGCGAAGTCTTCCTCTTTCCTTCCCCTTTCATAGCTTACTCAATAAAAGACTGCAGTCTTAGTGGCGTTAGGGATCATTTTAAAAAAWTCAGTGAAGCATGTTGTTATTTTACAGAAACAGAAAACAGGATAGCATTGCTTTGTCCTCTACACTTTTGTTTTTTCGAGACTGGCTCACATTCCTCTGCTGCTTTATAGAAGTACTTAAAKAGTCTGGATAATCTGTGTGATCCAGGTGACAGACTATAAAGCCAGTTTTACTTTAGACTTACTTTAGGACAGGTAACTTCAGTCTGCTGGATCATAATGAGGGCAGAGGCAATGAGGGCGCCTTGTCTCACGTAATTCACCGGATCATTGGTCATGGGCTCRAGCAGATTGATTGCCTCCTACAGAAGGAGAAAGAGCAGAAAATTGTCATAAAATAATATCAGAGTTCCTACAGTTTAAGGCAAATAAAATTTAAGACTTTTAAGTCCTCTTTAATGCCACTTGAGATTAAATTCAAGACCAATTTCACAATAAACACAAACAGTTAAACAGTAACAATTTTAGTCAAATGTTTATTTTAACACAAAACAACAAGCTGCAAGGGGCATTCTGTAAATTACTTAAAAATAAATAAATATGACCAATTCTTTTAATATTTCAGAGGAATTACAATCGTCCTACTTACAATGTGTTCACATTTTTAAGACTTCTGAAAGATTAATTTAAGACTTTTTAAGGCTAATTAAGGCCTTATTTTTGGACTGACAAAATCAATGCCTTTTAAGACTTTAAGGATCTGCAGGAACCCTGAATATTTTCTATAAGACCTTCAAACATTTATGGAGATCATAGATCTACAGTCAAATATTTGGCCAATTTATAACCAGGAAGCTGATTGAATTAAAATATTTTGTCATGAAAAACAAAACTGTTCGAGGTAAAATAAAATTTAATTTCATTGTTGTGGAAAAAAATAAAATAAAATTCTAGGATTACTTGGATTGGATTTCCACAGCAGCAATACAAAAACTACATTAAATACGTTTTTTTAACTTGAAGTGGAAAGCTACATTTTCATCTGTGACAAAGTGAAACAGCTACTAAACTATAATTTTACTGTAAATATTTCAAAATTCTCCTCTGCCGAACAAACCAATCGCTGCAACAGTGGCACTTCTGTTTAGTTAAATACAGGAAAAATGATTATCAACAGAGGCAAACAGACCACGCAAATTAATGACATTAGTGTCAGCCATATCTGGTCGCTCTGGACGACGGAGTTAACAATTACTCATCTCCCAGGAGTGTTGTGAAAAGAGCGAAAGAGAAATCGTCTGTTTCTTTTTTATTTCTCTGCTCTCATCTGTTCTGCAGAAAGTCCATCATTGTAACTTTTATTTCGCCTGAATAGTTTATGGCTGTAACTCAACTCCAGCAGGCTCAGATAGAGGCGTCAGCCTCGCCGAGCAAAGAAAATAAACCAAGATGATGAAGGTGGAGGTAAAATAAACCGCTTCGTCTGTGTCCGCAGCTCGACTGCCTCAGACAGCCAGGATCTGGGAGAATAAGTTTGAGTGTAAAGTCACCACTGATCTACATCCTGTAGGGGGGCTAATTGAAAGTATTTACTGACAGACTCAACCAGCACAACAGGTTCAGATCCAGTTAATCCATGTACATTAAAAAAACTCTGGTTTTGAGCAGGCTCCAGTCTTACAATGATTTGGAAATTATATTCAATTKAAGATTTAAAAGAAGTGGCTTGATCCTCATGTAAATAAATGAAACGAAGCAAGGCTTTTTAAAATCCAGAATATACATTTTTACACATCTATAAAAACAGAATCACAGAACACAAAAAAAGCTTCGAGTCAGTTTAGCCTTCAGATTATTGGTGAACATCCTTTCTATCCTACTTTCTAGAAATGTTAATAAACTGACCACACTGGCAGAAAATAAGTGTTTGTTTCTGCAACATTTTTTCTTAAAGAGGTATAAACACACTAAGGTGTTGCAAAGAAATGTGCTCCTTTTAAAATGGCGACTCAYTTTTTTTGCCACATCATCAGTCTCACTTAACTCAAATGTCCTTGAGGTAMTACACTGGAATACACACAAAAAACTATTATGTGCAAAATTGGAGCAGTTCTGGTGTAAATTATTCAGCTTGGTGCTCATAAGCCTGAGGTCCAATGAGCCATAACCCTGTAGTGGCTGCACACCTCAGACTGCCCTGCCTACAAACTGGCAAAACCTCCAACATCTGCCTCCTTCACTCTCCTTCGWGGCTTTTTATTAAACTCAAACACAAGGACGGAGTAAAGCTTAGTCACCGAGTGCCAACTTGGATCATTTAATCAGCTAAWCTGCAATGAACTTTTCACATTTCAGTTCCTTCAGTGCCGACTATTAATAGCAATTACAGCAAATCCCAATGGATTAGAAGCAAAATAGTCTATACGATAATCTTATTCCATGCTCTGGAGACAATTACTTGTTTCCCATGAGCRCTGTGAAAGGCGTGAAAGAGAAAGWATGTTCTGGAGTCAGATTATTTTATTTACTGAACACAGTGATCAAGAAGTATAAAGTATAAGACACCACGTTAGGCTAGTTTATTKAACTTCTGCTTRTACATTGATAACAGAAAGCAAGTCCGTCCCCTTCTATCATAACGAACACAAATGAACCAGTAAATAGSTGCTTGAAGGAGGAGCATTCATTTAGCTTATGTTATCTTATCATCAGTGACGCACATCTTGTTCCGAGGGGAAAAGGCAGCACACAGGATAAACGAGGAACACTAAGCCAATGTTGAATTTCTGATTGAAAAGGTGTTTATAASAAGCTTTTATAGTAGACTCCAAAAAAGTATATACTACGAGCCAAGCTACAATCTGTCACCCATTTTTTTAATTTATGAGCAGCGCACAGAAAAGGTCAAAGATAAAGACAGAAGACTGCTCAGAATTGAAGAAACATTTAGAGGGGAGGATCTCACCTTGTTGCCTGTCCCTGCACAACAGATGCCCAGAGCCATGGCGGCCCCGCAGCGTACATGAGGGTTGTAGCTCTCTGACAGAAGTGACACAACACTGGGACACTGCTCTGGAGTCCTGCCGACACCAAGAAAACATGGAGGAAGACGCGTTACTGACAGCGCCAGAAAAAAACTTGGGCAAAAAGGGGTGATGATGTAATGATAAATAGAAGTTATCACAATCAGCAAAAAACCAACAAACAAAAACAGTAAACTAATCTACTTGTGTAAGAACTTTATTATGGGGGAAAAAATACATGTTGGAAGATGAATAATTTGTTTATAAATATGCTTTCTTGTGAAAGACGATAACACCAGAACTGCCTGGACCTGTTAGATGAGCTGATTGCAAAAATAATTCAATGACTTGAACTGAATTTAAAAAATAAATAAAATAAAAGGTTTCCTTAAAAATAAACTGATTGTAAGTCAGTTTTTAGTTTTCAGCAACTAAAATAAAAGCCAAGTCTTTATATTACTGTAACTAATAAAATAGATAACTATTCCAATAGTCAGTTCATTGTTAGAATGCTAAATCTAAACAAAATGAATGGTTTGTGGGTTTATTGTTTTTAGTTATGTACATCAATAAGGAGGCATATTTTAAAGAAGTAATCGTCACTGGCCTGTTTGGGAAGTAGTGGCCTATTTGGACAATTTCATATGAAAAAAACAAAAACAAAAACAAAAAAACAAAAACAAACAAACAAACAAAAAACAATGAGATTAAGGTGGCTTTAAATGTCTCCCACATATACGTAGTTTAGACATTGCAAACCACTGATACCTATCAATTTGTACTAGGCTAATGACCAACTTGCAAAGACCTTGCACATAATTTGGTAGTTTTGTTAGTGAGTTACCACAAGTTGTAGCTTTTAACACTAAAATTTAAGGTAATCTTAWGAAGTATCCATCAAGCAAAATGGTTCAGATTATTCAGCTTCAAAACAAAAATGCAGGCTCTCAAAATAAATTAAACCAAAGGAATATTTTGAAGACAGACATCTTCAAAACCTACCAAAATAAAAGTACTTGTTATTGTGAAGCAAATATGTTTATTTTCATCCTAAATTAAAATTTGCATTGATGGTCTAAAACTCTAAAATGCAGTGAAACGGGGAGACAAGTTAAATTTATAAATTTCAGAGGGCTTCTACCAGTATATTAAATTTCCAGTATGATTACATAAATATACAATATTTGTGTGTAAAAAAAGCTACCAATTTATTTTCATTTCAAAGACTTCTGAGACCCCAGAAAAGCAACACGTCTGTTTAAAAGACTATAAAGTAGATGCAGACGTTACAGAAACGTTTTGCCTCATGACAAATTACAGTGAAYGCTGAATTTACCCAAACTGTAAGAGGAAATCACATTAGCTTGCTTTGTGTCTGTTARAAGCACTCATCTAAATAAATAACGAAAGCACCTGGACAATGTTCATATTAGACGGCAAAGACGACAGAGCTTTAGGCAATGTTAGGTCACTGAACAACAGATTTAAAAATTTAATAAGCACAAAAAGTCTCATACTATGAACTATCATATTTTCCACAGGTAGATATTAAAATACTTTCTTGTGCAAAGGAAATGTACACAGTTTAGAAGGACCTATTCACATACTGTTAATATTAACTATGATATAAATAATGATGTTAAAGGGTAAGGAAATACAATGGTAAACTCACAACTCTGTCTTAATTGTAGAGAATACTTTGCAGATTAAAGCATATAAATGTTTTTTTTCATAGTTAATATTCTTTCAATTCAACTGAAATGTAAAAACAAAAACAGTTTTTTTCACATCTAAGGATATTAAACCAGTTCTGAGATTAAAGATGCAAAAACAGTGTTAAAAAATGACAAAGGTGGATTTAAAGGGAACAAATGATGTTGGTACATCAAAGTGTATAAGTGACTGTGTGATTTTATAAGCCCACTGAGCCCAAAAGGAACAAACTGTGCAGTAAAACCTCCCCAGAAACCACTACTGCCTCCCCGGTCACTGCTCGTTTCGAATGAGGGAGAGAACAGAGAATGGCAAATATAAACAGTGGGATGACTGTGTTGAGAGAAATTACCTCCCCAAACCACTGGCATGCGTCCAGCGAGAAAACGTTCATCTGTTTTGTATAGAAGCCGACTCGCAACACAAAGAGGAGGGAGGGGAGGGGGGAAGGTGAAAAGTGAGACGGGGAAAGAGACGGGAGAGGAGTGTGAYGCTTTCAGGCTCTGAAAAAGAGCRGYCYAGAAGGAGGGAACAAGGGGCCACAACATCTGAAAGTTTTAAACCTGTGATCGTTTTAGGTGATGCAAAGCAAGACATGTGGAAGAAGTCCACATCATGGATTGCTTCAGCCTGAGACAGATTTAGCGCTCGCAGAAAGACATTCTGTTACATTCTTATGTGAGAAACGTCACACGACAAGGACTCTACCTACAAAAAGAAGAGCACGGGGTGCTGGACTGCACCGCTTCCTAACCAACCTTTCAGGACTAAGACCATTGAGGAGCTACACGAGAGTTTAAAATCAATGCAGCTTTTCTCACACTACTCTGAGAAAATAAAGGTAAGAAATTAACACCAACTCTCAGAAATATTTTGTAAATCCAGGTGAAATTTCTAGTTAATTTAGTTACATTTATGTATTCTGTACTTTAGTACAATTTTGTTATAAACAACATCAACTACATAATGTGAGCCAAACATGACAAACCAACAAGAAAATATTCTAATGGGTCATTTATAATTAAAAACTCCTCATTTTGAACTTTCTACTTTCATTTTCTACTCATAAAAGGCAAATAAATTTACTATTAAAATGGATGTCAGCACACACACACACACACACACACACACACACACACACACACACACACACACACACACACACNCACACACACACACACACACACACACACACACACACACACACACACACACAAAACAACAACTTGTAATAATGATGAATGTCCTCTTATCATTTAGACAAATTAAAGAATGTAGATATGGGCAGAATAACCTGTAAACAGACCTTTTTATTTTGTAGATGTTGATCTGCGTGGGAAAGTGAGGAACCCTGTGTGGTGGGATTATTTTACCATTGGAGTTTATTACATTGGACCTGCATATTTGTATTCCCTTCAAGCATCGACGTTTTAAACTGGCCGTTTGTAAACTTTTCAGTTTATACTTCGTGCAAGAAATGATGCGTCTTGTGCACCAGCCTTGAGTGGTCCCACCATAACCTACGCCWTTGCTCGTGGGACCCAGTGACCATGCTGACCGAGGGACCAAAACCAGGAAGATCAGAGCCACCACCCACGCTCAGGCCCACTGGGATCCCAGTAGCAACGCGACTCCGCCAACCATGGCACAACTCGGGAACGATTCGCATCTAAACACAGCGCCTGAGATTCAACTGAAATGGGCCGCCTTGCTCATTGTCATGGTCATAATCCCAACTATTGGAGGAAATATCCTGGTTATTCTGGCTGTGTCGCTTGAAAGAAAGTTGCAAAATGCCACCAACTACTTCCTGATGTCTCTCGCTGTGGCAGATCTGCTGGTGGGACTTCTAGTGATGCCCATTGCACTCATCACTGTTTTATACAGTAAGTACAGCAAGAAGGGCTGGTTTTCATTTCACAAAATCAGGACTGTTTGCTTGATGTGATCTTGATTAAATCGAACTATCTAAATTAGATGAGATGACTATTAATTTATAAAATTGAGGTAAACACTCAGGAATTACTAAACAAAATCATAACCACAAAAATCTGTCTTAAATGCTGAAACTGAAAGGGAAACTTGTCTCACTTTTGGCAGAGAAAAAAAAACTGTTCAAAATTACACAGTAAATCTTAAAAAGAGATTTCATTTTGAAAAGAAGCATAAAAAATGTTGTAATGTACTTATAATCCTTGTCACACTGTCCTAGATTAACTGTAACTAGAGACTAAGCAGTAAGGACGTTGCATCTTCTGGCACTGCTGAGGTAGCAGCTGCACATTCTGGACTAAGCAAATAGGCGACTATAACACATGAAAAGATAAGCAAACTTTTTGTTTAATTTAATTCCACTCATTGTGCCAACTAAATACAGCTGCACGAGAACAGATTTACACTTCTATTCCCCGTATTCTATAAAGTCCAGGGCGATTGTGAAGCCATTATTCTTCATTAATTCAATTGTGGGATAATGAGCCAGATTGTAATTACGTCTCTCACACAGACACACAGGAGTGAAGGTTACTGTTATACAAGGCTGCTTTTGTAGTCCTGCATCCTTTAGTCATCATGGTTTGCATAAGAACTGGATGTGCAAGGACACTGGTCCATCTTATTAAACAACAGCATCAATTTTTCAAAGACATAAAATAATCAAAAACCGCATCCATAATTTTCACATTTGGATGCAAAATTAATGAAACCAGGTATGTTGTTTTGATTAGTTTGTTATTTTTTAAATATTGGGTTAATAATTGAACTTTTCCTTTGGTTAAAACAAAATTTGTAGAGCTACCAAATAAACTCTCTTTATAAACTACACATGTATAAAACAGTGAGGTAAGTTAAATGAATTAAGTAGTTTCAGGTAAAAAGTGGGCAAGTCATTTTGATTTGACACATTGGAGGAGTGATGGATTCAGACTGAGTTAAACTTAATTTTCCTTCCTTTGTGTGCTTTATGACATAATATTATTGTCGTTGCTCTTGACATTAAAACAAATCACTCCCTCTGTATTACAGTAGAAAGAGGAAATCTCTTCACATTCCTATTATTTTTCTACAGACCTAAACAGATCACATCAGCCACCAATGAGAGAATAGACAAAGCACGCAGTACAGCAGTGAGGAGGAGGTCAAAAAGATATAAACACACACAAAAGATGAATACATGAGACTGGTGTAAAGCATAACAGAAATGAGTAATGACGACATGAACCCAGACAGTCATACATTCCCAATGCAACAAAACTACAAAGTAAGGAGAATCCCTTTCTATCAGCTGGCCTTGAAATAGTAGAACCACTGTTCAAATGGTGAAAATAAACTCAGATACTTGTGAGTATATAATTTAAATCCAGACTTACATTACTTTATGCTTACATTTAATATACTCATACATGAGGGCTTTGCTGTAATCACGTTAAGCTAGTAGGTCATTTCAAACACAAAGAAATCCTCAATCAGCTTTTGTTTTCCTAAACTTGAGCTTCGTTACTAACAGAAATCAAAACGAAAAGAACAAACTCTTTGTAATTCTTCAAGAACAACAAACTCAAGATAAATTACAGCCGAAAGCAGTGACCACAACTTTGTGAAACCAGAAACTGCTGGAAAATGTAAGAGGTCAATAAAACAAAAGACATCATAAGAGGAATGAAACAAGAACAAAAGCAGCTCCATTGTTTCTTAAATGATCTTTGAATTGTTGAATGCTTTTGTAAAACAGATTAAAATTATGCTGCAGTTTTACAGTTACAAAAAAATTATGTTGAAGTGTTCAACATAAAGTTTATTTTTTCCAGTTATATAAAATTATGGGATACATTTTTCTGCAGCCAGGTGGATCTCACAAGCTGCACCGTTGATGAGAAACCAAACGTTTCACAGAACAGGCACAGGTTTACTTGGCGCAGTATTTGTCAATGAAATCCTTCCAGATGAAATCGAACCAAAACTGTGACTCAAAATTTCCCTCTAGTGTGACAAGAAAATGGTGCAAGAAAAAGAGGCTTGGGCGGCATAATAAAAACATGTTAAGGGAAATATTTCCACCAACAGTCCTTTGCATTGTTAATGGACATGTAGACAAAAGCCAGAACAAAACTCTTGCCAGTTTTATGCCTGGAACTCAAAATAAACACTACTGTTGAGCAGACTCAGCCACAATCTACATAAAGAGCCATAAACAGTCAGTATACCCTTATGTTTCCAGTAAAGACATTCCTTACTGAAACTAATTTTTGGCATGACGGATACTTATGCCATTGTAGTATCTTTCCCGTTTATGTGTTAAGACATGGAAATAGGACAACCCTCAAACACAATGTCAACAAACATGTCAAGAGTTTATTTTTCTAATTAATTTCCTTCTCATCTCCTCTTTAGACTCTAGATGGCCACTTCCAGATTTCCTCTGCCCCATTTGGCTCTTCCTTGATGTGCTTTTTTCTACTGCATCCATCATGCATCTGTGTGCCATCTCTTTGGATCGCTATATTGCCATCAAAAAGCCAATTCAACACAGCCAGTACAAATCCAGAGCCAAGGCACTGATCAAGATCACACTGGTGTGGCTCATATCCATTGGTAAGCAACTCTTATTAATTTTATTTGTTTCTGGTTAAAACAGAAGTATTAATTGCTTTTGGCTTTTTTGCAGGCATCGCCATCCCAATTCCAATAAAGGGGCTTAAGAATCTTCACAATAACATCACCTTCAACAGCAACTACACGTGCCTGCTGAAACCAGAAACCTTCTCTGAGTTTATCATATTTGGATCCTTGACAGCGTTCTTCATCCCTTTGGCCATCATGATGATCATCTACCTGCTTACTGTGCAGGTGCTGCGCAAAAAAGTTTATTTGCTCAAGTCAAAGGTGACTCAGCGCTTTGGCTCCTCAACCATCTCCACAGTTTTTCAAAGGGAACAACAGGCTCTGACTTCCCCTCAAGCTGAGCAAATCAGCATGCTGGATATCAGACTCCCCAGGATGCAAGAAAAACCAAACATAGGCACAATGAATGCTCAGACGGACGATGAAATATCCTTTCGCAGAATGTCAACAATGGGCAAGAAGTCAATGCAGACTTTGAGCAACGAGCAGCGTGCTTCAAAGGTGCTGGGCATAGTCTTCCTCCTGTTTGTTGTCATGTGGTGCCCGTTTTTTATAACAAACATCACATCAGCACTGTGCTCAAGTTGTGACGGTGATGTAATCTCCCGCCTGATGGAGATCTTCGTATGGGTTGGTTACGTGTCATCAGGTATTAACCCTTTGGTCTACACTCTTTTCAACAAAATCTTCAGGGAAGCGTTCACGCGTTACATTACCTGCAATTACAAAAGCTGTGCAAGCAGCAGGCCTTCTCAACATCTGGGGACAACAACTACAGACTGGAGCCTTACAAGGATTTCATTCAAATCTTCCATGGCAGAGAACTCAAAACTGTTCATGAAGAGGGGGATGAAGAACGGCATCGGAGCAATGAGCTACCAAAGTCCACTAAGGTGCCAACAAACACCTTTACAGTCACCAAGTAGCCTTGTGTTAAACACAATACTTCTGACTGAAAATGAAGGTTTTAATCAAGACGAACATGTAAGCTGTGTATAGAGATACCAGAGAACTGAATCTATTTGAATACAGATTGTTTTGATGGCACATATTTTATATAAAAGACAAAGATTTGTCCCTAGTAAAGAGAGTAAAAYAAATGCTGATGAAGAGGGACATCCTCATGATTCGACATGTAAAATGCAAATAACACATCAAAACTGACAACTTTGTTGTTTGGTGATGTTAAACACAAAGCAAACTTGTTAATGCTAAATCATAGAATAACTTAAATASTAAATTACTGTCCTGGAGCACATAAAGAAAAATGTTGCTGCCTTACAAAATGACAATATTYTTAATAATGACGAGAATGTGAAATCTAAACATAACAGCATATACAAAGAGAGTTTAAGTTTTCAAATAAAACCCAAGTACTGATTGGATAAAAATGGTACCAGATCCATTTATGTTGTAACAAGAGAATGCGCTGAGTGTGTGACAATGTATTCTACAAAACTCTGGCTGCCAGACCTGACAACCTGGAAAATCTCRGAATGATGTATATAATATATTCCAGCGCTGATCTGTCCGACTTGGGCTGTTTAAAAATTGCTGTAAACCATCTCAAACCACATGCTTACTTTGAGAAATACAGCTGTACCTTTGAGAATCTCTTCTGCAAAAGACAAATGCACTTATGAAATGAAACTAATTTCTTTTGCTGAAACTTTGATAAGCACTTGTATGTGTATGACAACCAGCTGTTTTGACATGTCAAAAAGATGTCAGAATAAAAAACTGTACATACAAAAGAAAAAAAAGAAAGAAACATAGATTTGCTTAATAAAATATTTTCTGTTTTGCCAACCAGAGAAACGATTTCTAACCATTTCTCTTCATTCAGTTTGAATGTCCACCATTACGTTTCTATCATTTAGAAACCAAAATTGGTTAAAGCAGAACAGGGCAACAAAAATTTGAATCATCATTAAAACACCTACCGGTACAAACTTTTACGAGGTTTTCAAATAAAGACCAATAAATATTATTCATCTGTACAGATTAAACAAACTGCAATGTCATTGAAATTATTAGATCTTGGCATTTTAGGTGAACAATCAAAGTAAACAAATTAAAGTTTGCACTTAATTTAAATCAGCCTAATTAAATATGAATCAATTAACATTATAAAGTTTGATAAGCAAAGCTCAAGTGTTTAACTGGTGTTATTTTAACTGAGATAAAACTACGTCTTATTAAACTGTTGATTTATAATAAAATTAAAGACCAAGCATTCGAGGCCGAATGCAGATCACCTGCCAGTTTGACTGGGTTGAACTCAGCCATCTTGGATTTGAATGACTCCCACTTTTCATGAGATATGGTAAGAACAGACACACACACACACACACACACACACACACACACGCACGCAGGCACACGATTACAGTATCGCCCACCATTTCATCGGTGATTAATAGAAGCATAGGAGATTCTAATTAGTAATTTTTCTACTTGTGCACGTGAACATCTTTGAGTCATTGCTGTTCAACATGGGGCATATCAATGTAACGCTGTGTTTCACAAATCTTTAAACAGAGAAGATTTATGTAGGATTTTTCTAGCTGCAAACTGATCGCATAAACCATCACAGCTTTTCACTCTAGCTTTAAAAGTCATTTAAACGATGCTAGAATCTGAGTTTGTTTCAATGATAATCTCTTTGAATAGGTGAATAAAAAAGACAGGTGCTTAGCTTTTTCCAGTTGAGCAGATTTTTTTCCATACAGAAGAAATTAGTTGAAAATAGCATTTAATTACAACCTTAAATTCGAACTAAACCTGGGAAAAAATTCACAACACAAACAACTCTGTTTTCTTGTTTTAAAAATGTCATTAATCTGCGTTGTGCACAGAATGTAAGATGATGTTCACATAACATCGGTTAATTTACCTGCATAATCAGAAACAAATGACCTATAAAACTTCAGCACATTTGATCCTACTATTGGAATGCGAGTGTAATTCACATTTTATTTCCATTTTCCAGCAGTAGAACATATTTCTAACAATGAAAGGAGTTTTGTAGCAGGGGTAGAGCCTAAAATCAATATCACGATATATTGACCACTTCAGCTCAATAACGATAAATGCACGATAAAACTTACTACCACCCTCCACCACACACAAGTACACGGTATAGTATAGTAATAACACTATACACTGTGTCAATGTTCTTAGTCAAAGTACACAGTTTAGATTTTGAACAGCTTTTCTGTAGTTTATATTTGTCATTTTAGTGTTTTTAATATATTTAATAAAAAACATTTTTGGCAAAACTTGAGTCAGATATAGTCATACAAATATTTAACCATCTCCATAACTTTTCAGTGCAAACAAACACATTATGTATTATAATTTTATATTAAAAAATATACCAAATATATCTTTTGTACTGCACAAAATAACTTACATACATTTTTTATTTGTTATACTGACTGATTTCCCTATTAAAATAACTTTCTTTCAGAAAGATTATATTATTTAGAGAGCTCTTGTAATCATTTAATTCTATTATTATAATACCGAAAATACCTACATGGGCAAAAAGACGTCGGTTATTGTCATAAATGTTTGTGTCGGTAATTTTTCTGTTTATTGCCCAAGCCTAAGCAGGGGTTAGTTTTTTTTTTGTTTTGTTTTTTTGTCTTAATGTGAAAATATAGTTGCAGGTTAAAAAAAGAACAGAATACAGAAAGCTCTTGAGGCTCCAAACCAAGATGAATGTAAAACCCATGGTGTCCACAGGGATTAAAATTTGGGTCTTACCTGAACAAGATGAAGCCAATAGACTCGACAGCAGCTCTTCTGACGTCATCATTCACATCACTCACCTTAAGACAAGCAGAAAGCTCACATAAGTTAAACGAACACTTCAACTTAAATTAATCTTAATGATGATGAGTAAAMGTAGTTCCACTTTCACATTTAACTAAATTTAGTTAGGACACAGTGACACCTATGGGACAAAGTAATAACTGCAACATGAAAACATGGCTGCAAATGCATGTACACTTTTCTTGCTCTTATAAAAGATAAGAATGGATGACAACTCTTACTTCATAACTTAGGTGCAATCTTTGGCTCAAATCAACACCTCAGCCTTAATAACTATTTAGATTTGGGTTTTTGCTAAATAAAAATGGGCAATTTTGAAGTGATTTGTATTTCTTAAACATGAGCAACAGAAATAAATATTTTCAGATACATTATATGGCAATAATTGTAAAATGAGCAACACTTCTGTGGTACAAGATCTTAGAATCTGCGTTACTGTTGGGGTGATAAATCTACAATCCTTCTCAACAGAAAGTGAAGAAAAAAATAAAGAAATAAAAAACACTCACAGCGACGTGCAGCAGGCGTCGGATGGCCTTGTTGTTTCCAGAGCCGCAGTAGGCCATTCCCACAGTGTACATACCAGATCGCCGCAAGATGGGGTCCTATCGTTGACGATAAAAGAAAGCAGAGCTTTGAGGCTTTGTGTGTATTTTTGTGGATGCACAACTATGGTTTGATTCATTTCCCCATTTAGACTGAACCCTGGGTACACGGCACAAAGAAACAGCCAATATATGTGAGATAAAATAAACAGCTTCCTACAGGGTTCAGAGAGTGCACAATACATGAACCCAGTGTGTAGCAATCCTAATAAAGAACAATGGTCTCAAAGATCCTTTAAATATCCTGAGTATTGTTTCATGTTTGTTTTGTGTTATATGTGTAGGTTGCTCCTATTGTTTTTTAGAACAAAGCAACTCCTTCCTGGTGTCGTATAAACTTTGCTTTCAGTACTTCTCAGACATACCTTGTCCCTGCAGAGGCTTTCAATGAGGGCATCAGCTTCCTCCATGCGTCCATACATGACCAGGGCGATTCCCACTGCCAGCCCACGTAAGATCTTCTCATGCTGCGTCTCCTGAGCGTAGCCCACCATGTCCTCGATCGCTTGGGCCGACTTGGAGCCGAGCATGACCAGACCAAGAGCCAAACCTGCAGCTTCACCTGAGAGGTCACATTGAAGAATTAGAGACATACAAATACAAAGAGTTTTCATTTGGGGAATATTTTTCTTTTGTAGGCCGAGCAGTAAATACGAAGTTTAGTCTAATGATCGTTTTGCCAGGAGCCTACCAGTGACGGCATCATCTTGGTAAAGATTTGACTTGAGCAGGTCATAAACATCTTGTCTGGCTGTGCCTAGTGCGGCTAAACCCAGACCCAGACCACCACCGTGACGAACAATCTGTGAAACAAAAAGAAAATTTAAAATGTTATCTGACATAGCTTTCCTGAGGCTAAATAAAACATTACACTGGCTGACGTGAAATCCTTAAGCAGACATTACAAAAAACAACATACATCATTGCTGGCATTCTTAAGCTGACCGAGCAGGTAATCAATGATGTCTCCACCATGATTGGCATGAATAAGTCCCAGAGCGTACAGGCCTCCTCCCTCCTGGTAGGCAGAGCCAGGTGACGTGTCTTTGGGTAGGTAGGTGGCCATTAACTGGAGCGCCTCTTTCTCATGACCCTGAAATAAACGCAAAACTCACTTTCAAATTAAATCAGTTTTCCTTCTATGAAGTTTATTTTGTATTTAGGATTATAACGGCATAATTTACCCTGTGGATGACACCCAGGCTCGCTGTAGCTGTGAATTTTGCCCAGTTGGTGGCTCTTGCTAGCCATTCTAAATTTTCTCTACAAGAACAAATAAAAACTGGTTCAAATCTCTTTGAAATGTAGATTTCTTTGTCACTGCACCATTTAGGCATAGTTTAAAAATAATAATAATTTTGTCTACATTATTACCTGAGGAACTGGTCACTTGTGGTTCCTGTGTGCATAAAAGAGTTGGCTATAACCGTGGCTGTGTGACACACCGAGTTTCGTACTGCATCCTGGAGTAACAGACGAAGAAGAGGAGCGAGCTCACCAAACACGAGTCAACTTTGAATAACCTGCAGATTATCTGGAATGTGAACAAATGTTACTGTTCTCTAATTAATCCATCTAACCAATGTCCTATATTTTACCTTTGTGTTTTTCAGAATCATTAGATCTGTGTTGTTGTTTCGGATTAGAAACTGCAGGTGCAGCTCWATGGCCATCTCCCCACTGAGGATTTTGATCATCTTGGCGTTCTGGTCTTTGGGCTCATCTTTCTACAAAACGTTATGGAAGCAAAGACAAAAAACAAATAATGCTTTAGACACAGAAAGTCAGTGCAAACACCAACGATCTATAATCCAAATTACTTACTGCTTCTGCTGACTTTCCAGCTGGTGAGCTGCCAGCCTTCTCATCCGTCTCCATTGCATCACTGAAACGRCCCCAAAAAACAAGCTTTTGAGTTAATAATAGCCTCAGATTTAAAAACAGAAAGAACATTAAACTTTTATGCACTCCTAAAGTACACAACAAAATGTATTTAATGGCTAAAAAAGTGGATTTTTCATATGTCCCCTTTAATGGTGACTGTTTCATAGACATTTAAAACGGTAAATAAATAAATAAATAAATAAATAAATAAATAAAAATAAATTAATTAAATTGGCCTAATTTGGAAAAACAAAATACAATAAAAGCAAAACAACACCCTTGCAAATGTAACAGTATTTTCCACTGCTCACCCGTCTTTGTCTGCTGCAGGAACAGTGCCTGTATTTGTGGACCCAGGCACAGCGGGGATGGGTGTTCCGACGGTGTGCAAGTTCTGAATGACAGACGACAGGAACTGCTGGCTGGCACTTTCATAGAGGTCAAAGCAGATCTGGTAGGCCATTAGCAGGTTGTCCTCCTTTACCAGCTTCTCCAAGATGTCACTCACAGCCTGTGGGTCGTCTAGGAATATCAGACACTAAAGTGGAGAAAAAAACAAATAAAATAATCAGACGTATTTTGGGCTCTGACAGTTTTAGAGAATCAAAGTCTTAAAACTCAGGCAATACACATAATCAGTACTCGTATTACATAACAAACTTGCTTTTATTTCTCTTTATTGTTTATTTGCATGGGGACAAGTGTCACGTATAACAAATACTTAACTCTAACATTTACAGCCTTAGCTAATTTGCAATGCACGTCCCCAGATGGGTTTTTAATATAAAATTGTGATTGTCTGAAGTAGCTTGACTGAACTTTTACAACTTGCATTCAAAATAAAATTTCCCCACCCCAATAAAAAATTATTTTTTGGATAATTTTTTCAATTAAAGAAGGTTAAAAATACTAACTCATGCTAAATTGTAGTCTTTTAAATCCAATCTATGGCAGAAATGTAACTTGAAATAATGGGATTATTATCAATAAGCTGATTTAAAATGAATAAATAAATGAAATCCAGTGGTTACCTGGCAGACATTGATGAAATCAGGCTTCTCTAAGTTCATGTACAGTTTGACCAGAACTCGCAGAACATCATTACGAAACTTCTTGTTCTGCATGAGGGACATGCAAACCTTCAGGCTGTAGGCAAGGAGGCCACTCACGTCATTCTGACACGGAGAAGAAAAAAACGCAATAAAAATTAAAAATATGCACCATTAAAATATACTTTTTAAAATAAATCAAAATTGAAGTTGGTATCAACCAGGTAAATCTGTTTGACATTTCATCAAGTTTATTTAAACAAATGTGTTTTGTCATTTGAGGCATGCATGATCATAGTATTTAAAACCCATAATTAATATGTAAACTAATCTTTGTCAGGCAAAGCAGTGAACGATGGAAGATGCTGACCGATTCAAGGATGGTCTTTTCAAACATGTCGAGACGCCTGGTCTCCAAGGCGATGCCGATGGCCTGCTTGTACTTGTGATCATCCAGGCAACGCAGGAACATTTTGTTGACAATGCCCTCCAGGCGTGGGTCGATGCTCTTTTTCTCTTCATCCTCAGACAGCTCAGCGTTTTCCACCCGCAGCTTGGTGTAGTGGTCGATGCATTTGGCTGTAGTGGACATAAAAGAGAATACAAGTCGTGAATCTACAGTGTCAAAGTGTAAATACCCATTCCCAACAGAAAGCCACTGTGAATAAACTAAAATACAAGAAACAAAAGTAATCCTATTTCATCACTCACCAATGATGGTCTCCACATATTCTGAGTCATCTGTGACACTAAAAAGATCCCCAGCACCAAGTGCGTAATTTAAAGATTCTTCAAATGCTCCAAGGTGGTAGAAAACCTTAGAGGCCACCAGGGCAGCGAACTGTCTGCTCCGAAAAGATTCATCCTCATACAGGACCTCACTGTAAATTGGAAAGAGCTAGTTACACATGACT